AAATACACCCATGTAGTATATGTGTGTGAACAACAAAATACCCCTGTTCTATTTTTCAGAACAAATATACCCCTAAAGCAATGTTGTCAATCCCAAATAGCGGAGCGGAAGGGAGCGGCCAGACCCAAAAACGCTATAGCAGATAGCGGGATGACCACTATTTAGGCTACTTTCAAATATAATACATAAGTAATTACTAGAAGCATATATAATACATTGCATATGCATTTCAAGTTTAAAAAGTATGATATGTGCCAATGAAGCTTTCAAAAATCTTAAGTCTTAACATTCACAAATCCTAAATTACTAGTAATACTCTTTTAAGTCTTTAGTTTCATGACCAAAACATAAGATGCTATCATGGTATTAATGATTAAAACATCTTGAATCAAAAACAAGGTTCTAATTTAAGAGTTTAAGCCTTAGTATATTAACGGTCAAAAAATTTAGATCCAACTTGCAAGCCCTTTGAATTCATCATTCACCACTCCTCATCAAAATCTTCTTCTTCCAACTCTATCTCATCTTCATTGTCATTTTCACTACTAGAGCAACATAAATTTCTTCCTTCACATTTGTTTGGTCTGTCACTTCAACATGTTCTATATCTTCTATTGAGCGGCCCGTCCCCCTAGAGCTTGTGGCTCCTCTAGACCTTGTAGCTCCTCCAGAGCTTGCTGCCTAGTGTTTATCAAAGGCTCACACACCAGTTAGATCAGCAACATCTCCTTAAGTAAAGTTGGCGTCATCAGCGAAAACCAAATCATCCTCGGCATCCTCTCCATCTCCCCCATTACCCCCACCAACCACTCATTGTTACCATCAATATCATTTAGGCGAATTGGATCTATTAAATCACGGCTATCAAATCGCTCAAGATCTTGGTTATATTTAATATATACCAAATCTTGAAACCTTTGATGCTCAAGCCTATTTCTCTTCTTCGAATGGATCTATTTTACAAATTGATTAAAAAAAAAAAGGTTAGTCTACACTCCAGAATGAAAACAAAAACAGCACACTAAATCACTAATACACTATATGTTGTTAGAAGTTTTTAAAATGTAATAATAACATACATGCTCAAATGTAATCCAATTGCGTTCACATCCCGATGAGCTATAAGTCAAACTTAAGATCTTTATGGCAAGGCTTTGAAGATTTGGTGTATGTGATCCATAGTTCCTCCATCATTTACCTTTAAGTGGAAATAAATATTAAACATTCTATTAGGGCTGCTTATTTAAAGAAAAAAGAATAAGACGCCTCAACTTACCGGAACCAAGAATGTCTCTTTGCCTTACTGCCAGCTTCAACCCAAAGAGACCTTCAGCTCTGTTATAAGCATTCAACTCACCTGAAATTTTATTTTCAATTTCTTCACTTTCAAATAATGATCAACTGCATGCAAGGGATGATGGAGTTGAGTTTCCCATCGTAAATCAATGATTTCAGATATTTTTTGTATCTCCTTTCATTTCCTTGAAAAGAACTCTGAATTGTTTCCTTGGCTCAATCCATTGCTTCATAAATGTATCCCATTTCGGATTTTTTCTCATGATTGGCTAGCCTTAGAACGTGCACAAGAGGGTCCATTACTTTCAGAATGTAAACAACATCATTCCAGAATGTAGGATTAAGGATTATGTCCAGAACTCTCTTTGCATTTCGATCTTTCGAAACATTGATCTTTTTCCATTCATTGGAAGTAAACATGTTTCTAAGCTTTGCTCTTTGAGTATGTGGTCGTTGCAAGGCAAGGAATGACGTATCAAACCTTGTAACACCACGTCTAAGCAATTCCATCTTGTTGGTGAACTTTCTCATCATGTTGAGATCATTGGTGTGGTTATAGATGAAACCCACTACACAAATACCTTTTCTTATTGTAGCTTTAATTGTCGGCAACTTCCCAATGTCCTCAAGCATCATGTCTACGCAATGGGCAGCGCACGGTGTCCAAAATAAATGTTCTCTTCACTTGTAGGAATTTTCCTAACACAGACATCGATAAACTCAGCTATGGCAGCATACTCACATAATTGAAATTCAACAAATTAAATTTTAAATAAAGTTATATTCAACTAATAAATATTACCCGCAAGAACATAGTTACTTCCATTGTCAGTGATCACTTGCACCACATTTTCTTCCCCAATGGTCTCAACAAATTGATCAAGAAGCTCAAATAATTTCTTACCCGTTTTTGTGTATTCATAACCATCAACACTCTTCACAAACATTGATCCTCTTGGGCAATTCACCAAGAAATTAATCAATGTTCTATTTTTCCTATTTGTCCATCCATCCGACATTACCATCCGACATAACTGAGCATCCATATTGTGCATGTTCCTCTTCATGGTCCTTTAAGAGTTCCTTAGTGTATTCCAATTCTTTTCTAAGAAGTGGAACTCTACACTCATGGTAGCTTGGGGGATTTAAATGAGGACCATAATTTCCAATGGCCTCAACCATCAATTTGAAACTTTTTGATTTCATAACATTAAAAGCAATTCCATTTCTGCATAGGAGTGGTAGCATGGGGGATTTAAATGAGGACCATAATTTCTAATAGCCTCAATCATCGATTTGAAACTTTTTGTTTTCACAACATTAAAAGCAATTCCATTTCTGCATAGGAATCTTTCAATATATTGAATGGTTCTGGCCCTAGCTTCCTTGTCACAGGCATCATATATGCTCGTTTCCCTCTTAGCTTTTTCCCAAGCTTATCGTTTTTCTGGTTTCTTATAGTACAGCAAGTCTAAGGGCCTTTTAGCCTTTTTTGGCAGTAGGATGAGAGGCAGCTGATGTTAGGGGCCTTTTTCCTTTTCTGATATTCAGAATTTCATTGAATCTTCCATTTCATCTTCATCTTCTTGCAACTCCATGTATGCTTCTTTTTCCCCTTTTTTCTTTTCGTATGCTTCTTTCAGTAAAAGTGTAACATCGGCTGAAGTTTTCCTGAAAGCTCCTACATCTCCCCCTATTCCCATTTGTGTCTTTTGGCTCTGGTAATTGCTCCAGTAATAGTTTTGCCACAAAAATCACATGTAACTGTCTTCTTGTCATTTAAATCTTTCGAACTGTCCACTCCCAAGCCGGGTCAAGGTTGGCTCTTGTGGGCTTAAACATGGCAGTGGCAGTATACTCCATGCTAAGAAGACTTCAACAAAGAAAAGTTTCATCTGGTAGAAGATGTTGCAACACAAGTAAAAGAATGAAAGAAGAGTAAAAGATGAAGCAGCGATTGTAAGAGGCGAAATGGAAACTAGCGAAGAGTTTTGGTCATCGCAGATGAAGAGGCGAAGTGGAACTAGCGGATGAAAAGGTTGTCGTTGTTGAAGGAGAAGTCACCGCAGTCCAGAGCAAAAAGAATGACAGAAGGAGTTCAAAAGGTTGGGCCGTTTGTAAGGCTACACGTGTAGAAGGGTTTATTGTGGTTAATATTTTATACTATTGTATTAAAAAGACTAATTTACCCTTCAACCTCAGCCCTAAATAAATTAAACGCAGAAAACAAACGCAGGACATCGAAGAAATAGCGCCGCTATTGCGGCCGCCTTTAATAAAATAGTGTGACCGCTATTGCGGCCACCTTAGGCGCTTCACCCAAACGCTCCGCACCAGGCCATCTTGTAGCGCCAGGCCAATATGCCACTCCGCACCACCGCTATAGCGCGCGATAGCGCCGCTATTCATTTCACTGCTCTGAAGTATATGTTGAAGTGCATATAAACCCCTGAACTTTTAAAAGGTGCAAAAATATCCCTCATATTCTTATAAAAGAGAAAATTTAACCTTATTGACTTTAAATTGAAATAAAATAAATTTCAAAAACACCAAAAATAAATTATAAATTCAAAATTAAAAAATAAAATATTTCAAAAATGTACTTGTGTCCAATTCTCCAATTGATTGTTTGTATATCACAATTTAATGTTGTTGGTATAAAATATTATTTCAAAAACTTTACTGTATATTCAGGATTCTTTCGAAAAAGTGTTAACATATGTGTTGTACTGTTAAAAAAATTGTTTGCATTCTTTGCACTATAATATCACATATTTTTGTATGATGATAAATAGTCCAAGATTACAAAATAGTGAATTTAATTTTATAAAGTTTAAACAAAATCAAATCATGTTATTTTATAAAATTTAACAATGTGTTCAAAATTTCGCAACAAGATTAAAATTAAAATTAATGAACTTGAAGTGCTTCATTTACCACAAAAAATAATAATTTTGCATGTTAAAATAAAAGACTATATTTTAACATAATAATAAATCTTTATTTTTATATTTCATATTTATAATTTATTTTTGGTGTTTTTTGAAATTTATTTTATCTAATATCTATTTAAAGTCAATAAGGGTAAATTTGCTCTTTTATAAAAACATGAGGGGTATTTTTGCACTTTTTAAAAGTTCAGGGGTATATATGCACTTCAACATATACTTCAGGGGTATATTTGTTCTAAAAAATAGATTAGGGGTATATTTGTTCGCACATCCATACCACAGAGGTATATTTGTACCTTTTCCCATTTTAATATATATGAATTATTATGTATTTTTCACACTACCACCCCTCCTATCGGGAATTCTTGCATCCGCCGCTGCTAGTGAAACTGCTTGAAATAACTAAACCAGATAACAACAACAACATTACCCCACAGCTGCAAAGGCTCCCACCTACGGTGGGGTAGGGGGGTCGGATGTGAGCAGCCTTACCCCCTATACTAAAGCACAAATAGACTGTTTCCGGATGACCCGTGATGAAAATCGTGTCAAAAATTGCATGGAATGACTGTTGTTTCATAACAAAGAAGTGCAAACAGTTTAATGAGCCATTTTGCTTTATTCCATCATATTCCCAAGCCAAAAAATAGTGATTCTTTGCCTCCATTGGAAATGATGGAAAGTGAATAACTAAACCAGATCTAGGAAATAAAAAACAATGAAACCTGACTGTAAAAAGGGATCAGAACATACAGCATCGGACATATCACAATGGAGTTTGGTAACAGAATCTCCACGCCCCAGCTCTGGATGAACTCCATAAGCTATATAAGTCTTGGGTCCCATATCTGGTTTTAAGGACTCTGATGGTAACTTGACAGCAAGATTTAGATAACCATTTCTGGGATCTGTGTATGCTTTGAAAGGCAGGCAGTGTTCGAACTCAGCACCATGACGAGGTAACCGTTGTTCAAATAAATCAGAAGGCGGCCAGTCTTTCAACTTCAGAATTTTAGGCCAATCTTCTTCAAAAGTAAGTTTCTGATACTCTTTGAAAAACTGGTGGATATTAACATCAACCTTGATATCATCCAGAAATTGATCAACAAAAAATCAATATCTGACCAATGATAATAATAGGTACATAAAGAGCATCACGAAAATTCAAAACTGCCTTCGTCCCAAAATACTTGGTCAAATTCAAAACTTTGACCAATTATATATATTTATTGGAAATTATTTATTATATAAAAACGATATGAAAATGTTCTTCGTTAAAAGTACTTTCATAAAAGTATAAAATTTATAATTTTTCATAATATTATAGTAGTACTAATCAAAACCATGATCCAAATTTTAAGATTTGACTAAGTATTTTGGGACGGAGGTAGTAGTATATTATAGTCCTTATAAAGTATTAATAGCAATGAGAATAACAATATCTGAGAGTATATTATATGGAGTAGTCATTAATCAAAAACATGGCAATTAAATAAAACATTCGCTTTATTAGCAATTTAAGATAACATTTCTTAGAATCTTAAGCATGTTCAACAAAAAAAAACTGAATTGTTCAAAATAAATATGTTTGAGCAACATGAAAATAAAGATTGCAATAAAAAAGTAATGATTATTTGAAACATGATCTTGAAAATAATCAGCAGAGAGGACAAGAAGACCCAGTAAGATAATACCCAGCAAGAGTGGTAAAGAAAGTACCAGTGCTTGATCAGCCAAATCTAACAAAAGTGAAAAGTCCTAAATGATGTGTGTACTGTTTAGAAGTTTGAAGATAATACAGTGAGCTATAAGCATCGTAGATAAAAACTGATTGCTATAAGCATGTGCTGACCTCACACCAATCCATGCAGTTAATAGCAGCAACATCTAAAAGAAGTTCATGATTGAGATTTTTTATCTGACGGCATGCACGCCACATAACCATTGGCTCCCAGCTTAGTCCTGAAGTAGTTTCCAAAACATGACTGACAACAACTGGCTCTCCTTTGAGCCAATGCCAGCGAAAGTGCTTCAGATCTTCACCCTGAATGTCCTTGGCTACTGGACAGTACAAATAATTGTCACCAGAACCCTCCCTAGAAGCTGCTTTCCTTACATTACTCTTACAGATGTCTTTTTCATCAATAGTTTTCAAACAAGAACACCAACGCTGAGAACTTTCTGGCATGTCATCTAAATTGAATCTATGTACAATTTGTTCTGCCTCTGCTAGCAATTCAGAAACGTGATTCTCTCCTAACAAGTGCTTTAGTTCTAAGGTTCCCATGTTACACCCACCCATATCCTCTGGTGGACAAGGAATTCTACCATTTTCTTCAGATTTCCATTCATTACAGGGGTCGTGACTCTTGGACAGATAATGCATGTTATCATTCTTACTGGAATCTGAACTAAATGGGGGCTGAGGGAAATTAATGGAGTTAGTTTTAACAAATCTTTGGGACTTTCTGCTGGCAATACTTTTACTAAAATCATCAGGCATGACCTCGCTAGTTCTATCCGGATCTCCAGACATGTCCTGACTAGTTTTGTCGGGACCCCCATGCATGTAACGCAGACCTCTGTCAACATAATGAGCGACAACTTCTTCTTTATTACCCTGCAAGTTTCCATTCCTAAGCTCTTGGGAACAGGTAAGGCAAAGATCATAGGAACAGTTTGAGCAGCTCCGGTGAAAATCAAAAATTGACGTTTTACACATATCACTGCAGACAACATGAGACAATATAAATGCTTGAACAAAGACATAAAACATGCTTGTAGGAGTAAGCTACAGAAACCATAAAAAGATGAATGTACCAATACATCCTTTCATCAACTGAGCAGTCTACGTTTTGCAGCTTGACGTCGGAAGATGCAACTCCTTCAAACATATACACGGAAAACATGGTATACATAATCTACCATTAGACATAGGAACAAGACATTTTCATTGTAATTATGTCATTTAAGTATCCTTTACTAAGGGATAATTAACCTCTGGTATGTGGGTGAGAACCCCTAACTCAATATGCTTTACACCAGCCTAAAGTTCCATTCAATTCTTCTATAGTTTCATAACCATCAAGACATCATGTAGATATAAGAAAGTGAAACTTCATCAAACAAAAGTGGTACCTTGAATCTGTGCTTCAGTCTCCTTCTCACGTATTTGTTGTGCATCGTCTTGTCTCAGGAAAGGTAAAAGCACCTGCAAGATATACTTAGAGTACTGGACCTGCTCGTCTTGGCTGAACTCAACTTTTATATCTTTCAACTCCTATATTGGGAATGCAACCCAGATAGTAGCAAAAGAAGTTGGCATACATAATTAGCATGCAGCCATGCACAACTTATAGCTAAGAAACAATATAAAATAAAACAAGAGCAACCAACCCTTATAGGTCCTTCCAACCGCAGACATGATTTGCAATTGCAGTTTTTTAGACAAACTGGGCATTTCTCTGCAAAAGCTTCCTGCGTCATACCAGGATACCTTTTCACGGAATGAGATAAATGAATGACCGAAGATATACGTGAGGATTAAAGGAAACATAATAGCAAGCATATCCGGGTCCAAATGTCCGATCAAATCCAAAAGATATGTTATCATATTAATACAACTAAGAATCCTTGGGCAAAAACTACGGTGTTCTATGGACAAAGCCAAATAAAATGGAGGGTGGAACTGTGGAAGTTCAATACAGCTATTTGATCTAGCAGACTTAAGAAGACAATTGACCATATAATGGTTGCAGAAAAGTTTTATCTAAAAAGACTCCATGAGCATGGGCTCACTTTTAATAAAAGAAATTTGCCCTAAATAGGAGTAAAAACAATGTGAAATTCCAAAATATGGCAAAATAGGTTTAATTATTGTCATGGAAAATACTATGACATTAATACTATCATAATAATGTCTCGTAAAATATGGCAGTAAAGTTTCAGAATGGCAGTAATTACTCCTATTTAGAGGAAAATATGGAACTCTTATTTGAAATTTCATATAGTTTTAACCCTGTTTCGGAAAATTTCCCCTTTTAATACATGTAATAGTACTTGATTACACAAAATGTTTGACCTTTGGGGATAGAATTAACTCTATAATACTTCAACGATGTAAAATGAATTTTATTTAAAAATAAACATGCATGTAAAATGAGTTTTATTTATATGTAAAATAAATATTAATTTATGTGTTAGAAAATAGTTAAATATTTGTTTTTTTATTTATTTGTAAAATGTATTACATTTGACGATAACTAAATACTTATTTATTTATTATTAACCAAAGTAGTGCTCATATATGCTCTTCCTTAAAAGGTTGTCCAGCTAGGGATGGGCACGGTCCAGGTCGGTTCGGGTAACTTATGAGTTATCAAGAACCACCGGTTGCATTTAAGTTCAGTCCAAGTATACAGTATACCAAGTCTCGAAGTAAGAACCGGACCTTACCCACCCCGTTTAAAACAGGATGGTTCAGTCTGGGTTCTTGATTCTTTTTTTGTAAATAAAATACCGCTACACTAGCAAAGTATCTAGTAAATAATACCACTTTAAACCAAATAAGTATCAATCTCGCCATAATACAGTAAAAGTTCAAACTAAAATATAAAATATAATTTTGAATTATTTAACAAATTATCTAATCACTAAATTGTATGATGGAATAAAGCAAAATGGCTCACTAAACTGTTTGCGCTTCTTTGTTATGAAGTAACGGTCAGCCTATGCAATTTTCGACGCGATTTTCACTACGGGTCATTCGGAAACAGTCTCTCTGTGCTTTAGTACAGGGGTAAGACTGCGTACATCCGATCCCCCCTTACCCCACCGTAGGTGGGAGCCTTTGCGGCACTGGGGTAATGATGATGATGAACAAATTATCTAATCACAAACCTATAAATTAAATAGCACAAAAACACACAAATTAAATAACACCAAATTTGAAATATAGAAAATCAGACATCATCACCCATAAACTAAAAAAGTAGCACCACAAAGTTGTAAGAAAGTAAACAAGTCATTATACATATGGGTCCAAGAGAACAATATAGAGCTTAAAAAATATCAAAATGTAAGTAAAATTAAGATAATTAAATGAATATGTCACACTTCATTGAGTAGGAGTCTTTGATTACAAAAAAAAAGAAAGATTAAATAACTGAATAGAGAATTGGGGATAATAATTTAGGAGTTTATATGAACTGAAACTTTTTGAATAGATTCACTAGTTTTTTCAATTGAGAGTCTTTGTCTAAGACACAAGAACGTGAAAAGCTATTGTGTTTTGTTAGTATATTGAATGTAATGAAGTTTATTAAAATGATATTTTTAAAAACGGGTCAGTCCGGGTACCCGTGTTTTCAAATTTTAAGACCCGCTCGGTTAATAATTTTTTTAAGACCCGCTCCACCCCGTTTGGGTTTCCAAATATTACAACCCGGCCTGCAGTTCCTGTTCCCATTGTAGCACACTCTCAGTTGTAGCGGATTGTGCCCGGAACAAAGAACTGATTTGCAAGATGTTATTATGTCATTGATTAATAGTTAAGCAAATAGTTACATGGAGTTTGCTTGGGGTACACAAAATGTGTACACATGTCTGTCCTTCGGAGAACAAACATGTGTACACATTTTGTGTACCAAGAGCATTTTTCATAGTTACATAGTAGTAGTATCTAACAGAACTTAAACAGTCATGCACAGGGTCTTGTATCTAAACTTTCTTACCAAGTGGCCATGCAAGGCATACAGTATCTCTTTGTCTTGCAGCTTGTGCAACGAACAACCGTTCCTTTGTCATTTCTCTGGCATTGGTGACACATATTCGACTCATTTCCCTGTCACATGCAAATATAATGAAGTTCGCCAAAAGTAACAATGTATCCAACTACATAAACAGTTATCAAAAGAAGCATTGTAGCTACATAAAAAAGAATAGATAATTTACATCTTCATCCTTTCTGATCCTTGGCTTAGATAAACTGCCAACATTATTAGATGTCCTGTGTTGAAGGTCATGTGGGCTATCTGCACTTCCTTTAACTTTCTCATCCTTGTCTTCTTTTTCAAGGTCTTCAGTTAAAGCCCCTTTTTCCCCTCTCCTAGTTTTCTTACGTTTAATTGGGCCTTCATTATCTTCCAGGTTAGGCTGAGCTTTACCACTTCTCCCCTTCCTTCTTAGTTTACATGCTTCGTCCAGCTCCAAGAATTGAACATCGATGTTTTTAATCCTCACTCGTGCATCGAGACTTGATTTCCTCATTGGACGACCATTTCCCCAAACCATTTCAGCACTTGGAAGATTTTCTTCATAGCTCACCCTATTTTTGCCGGCAGTTCCAGTTTCAATCAATTCCTTTTCACACTCCAGCACTGGAGGGGCACAATGATTCTCCATGTGATCCCATTCCTCTTTGGCTCGATCATTGGGCAGCTTAGACTCGTTTCCCTTCCTCCCATCATGTCTGTCAGCAGTTTCCTGTACAACATCCATCGCCTCTTCTTCTTTTCCCTCACTTTCTTCTTTATTTTCTGTTGTCCTGCTTTTTTTGCCCCTTTTAGCGGCCTTTCTCTTCTTAGCCCAGCCTTCTTTCTCTTCAGTAAAATCATTTGCAATAAAAGTCGCATATTTTTTTGCTATTTTATTGTCCTTTGCTGGTATTCCAATTAAAGGCGTCAGCTGCTCCGGAGTAGTGTCTTTACCGCTTTCCTGTTTATCCATGTTACCCTCAGAATCCTCCTTCACTGGATTCACTTCCATATCCTCCATCACCTTCCTTTCCTCCTCATCACATGAATCCGTAGAATCGGTCTGCTTGTTCCTAATACTGTCGTTGTCCCCAGATTGTGAAGTAACCATCTCTTCTGCATCCGTGTGAGAAATTTCTTCTCCGTCTACAGGTCGACTCTTCTTCAGCAGACGGCGTAAATCGTCGTGCTTCAGAGACGTGTCCCCTAAACGGCACCGTTCCAGCTCGATTGTACAGCCGCTCCTTTCGGATTCCTCCCTAACTCCAACTATGTCATCCATATTCAAAAAAAATTGTGGGAAGAAGACATTTAAGTGCTGCGGAATTTTGCCGCGGAAACAATGCAATACCGATAAGGGAGACAAAGAGTTGCTTAAATAACCCTAAGTTAGAAGTTAATGAAGGCGGGATGTACTCTCTCCCGAGTCCCGAGTCCCGAGTCCCGAGTCCTGTCTGTTTGCCAACATTTAAAATAAGTTCAACTTCTTGGTAAAAAAACACTAATGATTTTACTCAAAACTAAATAAAGGAAACCATAAAACATATTTGCCTGTTTATTCTCCAAAATTGTAGTCCCTTCGGTTCTTATTTAAGTTCCCAGTTTGACTTCACACATATTAAGAAAATGAATTTGACTTTACTGTGGAGTGCATTGTTTGACACTGTTTGGACACTGTTTGGCACTGTTTAGCACTGTTTTGCACTGTTTTGTTTCCTAAAATGGAAGTGTGAACTTAAATAAGGGACATCCCAAAAAGGAAAGTGGGAACTTTAATTAGAACCGGAGGGAGTATATAGAGACATGTTTTTGATTTCTTCTTAAGTTGAATAACTCACTTTTTAGGGCAATTTATATCCTGGGATGGGCGCACCATGAGGATGGTGCGCCCGATACCAAAATGATGCAGCATTCATTATTTTTTATTTCTTTTATTGTTAAAAATTGTAATAACTTTTTTATTTGATATCCGATTTTTATAAATTTTTTATCAAATTTTTTTATTTTTCATGATCTATCAAATGAGACCAATATTGCTTATGTAATTTTAACAAATTATTTTGAAGTTACATTTGATAATATATCATGAAGTTACATCTTCTTCTGCGCGAGTTACATCTTATTGTACGCGAGTTACATCTTAATATACGCGAGTTACATCTTAATGTATGTGAGTTACACCATGAAATAAACCTCCGCTACATCTTTCATTTTTATCATTTGAAAAATAATGTATGAATATGAAATACAATATACTTATTTTATGTGGATTAATAAAATTTTGTATTAAATTGGCAAAGAAAAAAATTAATTCAGTTATAATTGAATTAGTTCAAGATAAAGATAAGTAAAAAATCACAAATAATTAGATATAACTCACACATAATTACATGTAACTCGCGCATAAAAGTATGTAACTCGTGTATAACAAGATGTAACTCACACATAATTACATGTAATTCAAGCATAAAAGTATGTAACTCGTGTATAGCAAGATGTAACTCACACTTAACAAGATGTAACTCACATATAATAACTTGTAACTCGAGTATAAGATGATGTAACTTCGTATATTATCAAATGTAACTCCAAGCTAGAAGCAAAATAAACAAACTCAATATCTTAAAAACCTCTAAAACATATAAAAGTGATAAAAAAAATATTACAGAAAAAGTGTATGCATATAAAAATATATTACAAAAAAATGTATGAATGTAAAAAATTAAAATTACATAGGCAATATTGGTCTCATTTGAAAGGTCATGAAAAATAAAAAAAATTGATATAAATTTTATAAAAATCGGATCAAAAATAAACAAATTATTAATTAACAATTTTAAGAAAAGGAGAAATAAAAAATAACAAAGGGTGTGTGGTGCTCACCATGCACCGGTTCCACGGTATAAACACTGACTTTTTGGTGTTTTCCAAAATGGAAATATGCAACGCTATATTGCGTCTTGCATTTATTTCGCACCCGTGTATCTAGTTGTGTTAATTTAAAAAAGGGATTTTATCGATTCAGGACCCGAAAGATAGATGAATTATCAATTCGGGACCTGAAATGTTATATCTATCGGTATAGGACCTGAATGATGAAAAACTATCGATCTAGAACCTAAAATTTCATAGGTTTTGATTTATTTAATTTTTTATTATTTTCATTGCTAATTTTTTATAAACTTTTCTTCACAAAAGTTTATTAGTTTCGTAAAACTAAATATTGTTTAAAAAATTTAAAATAAAAAGATTAATAAAATTTCAGACAACTTAGGTCCTAAACTGGTAATTTTCAATTATTCAATTCCTAAATTGATAGTTTTCCATCATTCGGATCCTATATCGATACATTTCATCTTTCAGGTCCCGGATTAATAATTCATACATCATTCAAGTCCCGGGTTGATAAAATTCCTTTAAAAAACTATGATTAGAAGACAAGAGAATATGGGCAATTTGTTAGACATTGACGTGGCTAAAGGGGCACACAAGAGTGTCCCATCTTTTATTTGATGATGTTAGTTATCTATTCTTTAGAGTCATAAATGGAGAGTGTGATGTGGTGAAGAATATTCTCCAACACTATGAAGGCAGCTCGGGGCAGAAGGTAAACTTTCAAAAATCCTCTATTATGTTTAGCCCGAATGTGCGTGAGGAGTTGCGCAATGACATATGTAATGCAGGGCCGTCTAGAGCGATTGTGAGGCCCTAGACGGTCATATAGAATTTGTTTTTTATGTACTGATCCATAGAGCCGGCGAACAATTTTGTGACCATGTTCTTTCTTAATTTGTTCTTTCTCTTTGTACCCCCGTGATCTTTACTGATCCTCTGTAAGCCCGTTCGGGGTACGTGCACGAAAATGAACCATAAATGCCCCTGATTAATCGTAACCACTTAATGCCACGTGTTGCTCATGGATTAGGGTTTTGTGCGGCACTTTCCCTATTTATAGAGAGGTGTTTTCCCCTAATTTCTCCTGTTGTTTCCTCACTTTTCTTTCAAGCTTTCTCTCTCTAGAATTCCCAGAATTCTCTTGCGTACTTTCAAGCTTTCTCTCTCTAGAATTCCCAGAATTTCTCCAGTGTTTTTATGTATTACCCCTCTAGCTCAGAATCTGAAGAGATGCCGTTGATTCGCCTAAGTAAAACATCTGCCGGTAACAAGGCCGAAGGCTCTTCTTCCCAAACCCCAAACCCCGGCAATCCTCAGGCAGGAAAACACATCGAACAGCTACAAGATGATGGATGCCTATCCGGTGATGATGTCCAGGTTTATAACAAGGGAATGCCCGAATGGCCACCCCGCATTCCCCTACACTTTACTCGTATCCGCAAACAAAAACAATGCCTCCCAGAAGATATCGAACGGCAACTTAGCCAGCTATTGCCCCCACCAAGAGAATACTATGCTGGATTTATTCGACACCCGATGAGGCATCGACCGGGGCACGTGCTAGTGCACCTTGACGCTTTGACTGCTGGACTTCGCTTCCCTCTCCATTCGTTCATCGTGGAGTTCTTACGCCGGGTTTCTGTACTACCCTCTCAGTTCGTGCCCAGCACTTACCGCATTCTTACAGGCTTTATTATTCGATGCCACGAGTTGAGGATCACTCCAAGCGTCGACTTATTCCTCCACCACTACTGCTATCAGCCTTATTGGACGACCGGGTACCTGAAGCTGGTAGCTCGTTCTGATCGTCAGCTGTTCGCAGAAAATCTCACTCCGTCGGCTGATTGGGAGGAGCGTTTTTTGTTTGTTCGGGTAGGTGATTCTCTGCCATTTCCGGATAGGTGGAACGCCTATCCCGTTCGGGATTCCCAGCCCAGGGTAGATGCCGTTCTACGCTCCCAAGCTGAATATTTGCGGATGGGAGGAACCCGAAGTCTTCGGAGTTTTGTCACTACTTCTAGCATGTTATTTGCCGGAATTGGTAAGCATAGCAGGGTTTTAACCTGATCGTCCTTCCTTCTTACAATTGAGCTTCTTATCTTTTATTCCTCTTTTTTGCAGGTGTGATATCCCCCATACCCGTCCGGCGTTCTATCTCTTCCGCTACCCTGACGGCTTCTTCTGGTAAAGGCAAGGAGAAAATGATAGCCGATCGTGCCTCTGCGGAGCAAATCCGGAAGAAACGCAAGGGGAATGATGGTGATCAATTGATCCCGATCGACCACGTGGTTGACTTGACCGGGCCGGAGGCTGAATCCAAAAGATCTGCGTCTTCCAAAACATCAACTCCGGCTCTTTCTGACGCACCGATCGATGATCGGATGTTTGTCGAATTTTCAAACATGGGGCCCAGATCAGAAGGGAGGTATCTGTTCGGGCTGATGTCATCTTCTATGTGGTGTCACACTGCGATCAAGGTTCCCCCGAGCTTCACGAACTTGACCCACTGGTCGGATCTTTTCGAAACAGGTCACCAGGAAGCACTCAAGGTACACCTCATTCTGATCCATGCCTTTCTATTCTTCATGTTTTACCTTATCTGACTTCTATTGCAATCTCGTTTTCAGGCCGGTGTATACTATCACAAGGCCTTTCTTGCGACCGAAATGGAAATGAAGGCCCTGACCAGCGATCGGGATGACAGCCAGATCCTTCTTTCTGCCGCTCGGAAGTTAGCGGCCGATCTTCAAGAGCAGGCCAAGGAGGGTGAGAAGGCAAAAGCTGCTCTGGCTGAGATGCAGGAAAAATCCCGACGTCACGACCGGGAGATTAAAGAACTCCGGGCCAAGGTGCGAGCTGCTGAATCCGTTGGGATCAAATTTGATAAAGCCGTTGGCGACCATCTGCCCGAACCTTATACGGTTAACACCTCCCAGATTGCTCATCAATCAATTTTTGATTTTCAACGGGGCAAGGGGCTGAACGTCGCTCTGGAGAACACGGCCCGATAGTTCTTGGGACCTCACCTTGGCCAATTCTTACGCGAAAGCGAAGATCCCATCAAGGCAGGGATCGATCTCCTGGACAGCACGCCGGAAGGGAAATCTTTCTTGGATGACCTGACCGAGAAAACTGTGAAGCAAAGTCAGGACCTGCTTCTGGATAGGAACCTCGATTTGATCCTAGAGCATTTCCCCAAGCCGTTCGACCCTGACGAATTAGGCTTTGACGATCTGTTCGGGAATACGTATGACCGTATTATGGAGAAAAGGTCCAAAGCAGCGCCCGATGATGCAGTACAGGCAGGGAGCTCTCAACCTCCATCTTCCCCGAACGGCAATCCTCCAGTAGCATAGCCTTGTAATTTTTGCTTTTTTGTCCTTTGTTTTTGTTGGGCCGCGGGTATGCGGTGCCAGCAACAGCCAGCCTGCCGGTGCAATCGGACCGCGTGGCGCTTCGCTTGTGCTATAAAGGGGGAGGAGCGTGCTTCACTATCAGCAATTGCTTTTGGTGTAGCGGTAAGCGCAACGATCC